CACACACACACACACACACACACACACACACACACACACACACACACACACAGACACACACACACACACACACACACACCCACACACACAACGCGGTGTAACATGTATGCATGTGTATAAGAGCTGGCTCGCTGCTGGCTACACACACACACGAACACACACACGAACGCATCACACGAGAGGGATCACAATGCCTCCCTGCAACTCCGTTGCGCGGAGGTAAATATGTCGAGCAAGTGTATGGAAAACTTGCTCACATAAATAGTTCATTAGAAAGCGCGTCTGCCTGGATGGATGGAATGGATGCCCAGCATGGTTTTGGTACGCTATCGGCAGCAGCATGTGCCTGCATCACTAATATAGGTGGTCTTCTATTTTACTATCTATCTACTATATATCGATTCTTTTTTCTATATTATACTACTATAAAGAGTAAAAAGAACCAGTATATGCTCATACCTGAAGCAATTTAATGTGTGACAAAAGGTGACAGTACTTTGAACTTAGAATCACTTGAGGATATATGCACTTGTGAAACTAGCGCTATAAATAATGTAAGATGACGTTTGTCCACAAGAAGATTAATTTTTGTAACTAGATTTCTTTCGCAAATTTGGCAACAATATTTCACTAGCGTGATTCCGTCATTCCTTTCCCAAAATAATCTTACCAAATAAGGCATTATCGTCATAATGACGTCATATAATACACTTACTATGAAGCTTTTCACAGACAATTCTATTGGATGTAAACAAATATTACTATTAATTACAAAATTGTCATTATGTCTCACAAAAGAATATTAATAGTGGTATCTGGTGTTTTTATTATGACCCCCCAACCAAATGATAAATTAAACTAGTTGCTACCTGAATAAACAATAATCGTTAAATTAATCAATACAGCACATTCAAAACTACGCGAATTCATAGCAATAAATGTTAGGAGTTTTATAACCCAGTAAATGGACTAGTATATATATATATGTTGAAATCAAATATTTGCATATAAACAGATCAGGTGGGTGTTCCAGCGTAAAAATGAGCTCATTTTATGTCCACTGACACTGACGCTGGCGTGTTAAATGTCACGTCTTACACGTTATCATTTTTCTAAATGCTTTTCTAAAGTCTTGATTGAAAACCGTGTAGATGATTGGATTCAGCGCCGAGTTACAATATCCCAGAAAGAAAATAATCGAAAACTCGAGCGGAGTCAAATGAAACCTCTCTGTTAGCGCGTCGAGTACGTACACCGTAAAAAAAGGCGTCCAGCACACCATGAAAGCTGCAATGACGACACCGACCACAAGCGTCGCGCGTTTCTCTCTCGCGCGCGCAAGACGCTTCTTATGTCGGTCTGCGTCCCGCTTCAGCTGCGTCACCGTCCCGCCGTTCTGCGACGCAGCGAGGCTGGCCCTGCCGGACGAGTGCGTCAGGCTGGTTATCCACGGCGACTTACACCTGACGATGACGCTGCTTGCCTTGCGCGGCTCCTCGCTCGACACGTCGTTGTCGGCAGGCGGAGTCACGCACTCGAAACGCCTATTGTTTTGCACGACGTCGCCGCGGTCGGCGAACGTCACCGTCTTCGGCTCGGCGTCGGTCGTTTGCACGCTTCCGTTGCGTCTCGCGTCGCCGAGCGGCGTCCGTTCGCCGTCGTCGGCCGGCTTCCGGCGCTGCGACGCGCGCGCGTCGTCCGTCGAGTCGGCGAACGAATCGGAGTTGTCGTTCTTCTGCGAGAGGTCGTCGCCGCACGGCGACGTCTGCTGCACATGCGTGACGGTCGTCGACGGCACGGCGGTCGACACGAACGTTGTCGTCTCGACGTCGTCGCAGACGTGCCGCGTCGTGTCGCGCCGACGCAGCGCCCTGCGCGCTCTCCGACGCGCGGCGACGTACACGCGCGCATACACGATCAGCATGACCACCGACGGGATCCAGAACGAGCCCATGCTCGAATAAATGACGTAGTCTAGCCTCCCACTGACCATACACATCGGAAAGTATCCATCCGGCATCGGGTCCTTCCACCCCATCAGCGGCGGCAGGCATATGATAGCGGATACGATCCACGCCGTACCTATCATCAACTTGGCGCGGAACGGCGTCCGTTTACGGATGTATCGCATAGCCTGCGTGACTGACCAGTATCGATCGAGACTGATCACACATAAGTTCAGTATGGAAGCCGTAGAGAATAGCACGTCCAGGGCCAGCCACAACTCGCACCACAAGCTGCCGAAGTGCCAGTATCCCATCAGCTCCTGCGCCAGCGAGAAGGGCATGATGGTGAGGCCGACGAGGAGGTCTGCGACGGCAAGCGACGCGAGGAACCAGTTCTGCACGAGCTTAAGGGACTTCTCGCGCGCGATGGCGACGACGACCATCACGTTGCCGACGACGATGAACACCATGAGGGGCGTGACGAGCACGGCCGTGACGGTGATTCGCGTCTGCGAAAATCCGCTAGGATACGGCGTCGCCACGACGAACGGGGGCGCTAGCGTCAGATTGAGGTTCGCAGTGACGCCGCCAGACGTCGCATTGTCGGCGCCGTCGTTAATGGCCGCTACGGTCGCCATGTATCGATTCGCTCGTTCTAGTTAGACCGCATGGGTGACGCGTTCGTCGTTTACATGGTTAACTCTTTCGTCGTTTCTTCCTGTATTGTAGAACAACGGTTTTGTATTTCGTCGACGCGGTGCGCGCCACCGTGAAAAACATTCACGATTCGAACACAGCAGAGGATCGTCGATTTTGGCATTTATATTTTCGCTTTTGTCGGGCAGCGCGGCAGTGCTCGCGGATTCCGCACTTGCGTAGGATGTTTCCATTAGATGACGGAGCGGCAGTGCGCTAACGCCTGCGGCGTCCAACTGAAGCCAGTCGCAGCCTCTTCCCGTTGACTCCCGCTCTCAGATCGCTGTACACGCGCATACGCTGGACACGCCGACTACTCGGTGCGCTAACTGAAAGTAGGGGAAAAATTTAACGAGGTTAGGCGGCGAAGGAGATGCTCGCTGAAGATGCGAAACACGATACGATATAAACAGCAAGGGGTGTTACGATTAATCGCTTGCGCGAGTGCGTGCTCGCTAGCGGGCAATGTTCGTTGAATAAGCTTTCTCCCCGAGTGAGCGCGCGCAAGATATCAGCCTAGCCATCCGTGGCCTTACGTCACGCTGACACCCCCCCCCCCCCCACACACACCCCCACACACACACACGCACGCACGCACGCACGCACGCACACACACACACACACACACACACACACACACACATATATATATCATATATATATATATATATATATATTTATTTATTTATTTATATATATTTATTTATTTATATATATATATTTATTTATTTATATATATACGCTATATAATATATATATAGTACATTTCCGAAATAGACATGCAATTGTTATAACAGCCTGCAGCCATAAATGTGGAAATGCGGTGAGCGCATGCACTCGCTCCAGATCGCGCAAACGCGTAGGATGCAAGAATTCCCACTCGGAAATAAATAAACCAAAATAACGTTTAAATCTCCTGCGGTGTTTTACCAGATAGTAAAAAATGTGAAGATTGCATGCAGGCCGACGGCAGAAAGATTCTCGCCGATGACAACGTATCTAGCATCCGTGCATCCGTGCTCGGCCATCGCCTGTAACGATCTATTACCAGGCTGTATACGCAGCACGACCGCCCGTACGTTAGTATAGATACGCGGCAGCATGGTATAATATAGTTAACGTGAGCGCCCCCTTTTCTGTTTATGCGAAATCGTGTTTTACCGAGGTCAAGGGTTTTGCCCGCTGTTGTGTATTCTTCGCGCTGATGGGAGAGCTGATTGAGAAGAGGCCTTACTGACCGCTATCAAGCCCCGAGTGGGAAGATCCGCATCATTGTCGTAAACTGCCTATTAGTAACAACAAAGGAAGATGCACCTACGGCATCTAGGGAATTTAGAGCAAGCACCTTCGTAGGCTGCGATGTGAAATTCCCTGCGGGGCTGTTATAGGGTAAATTGCAAAGTGACAGAGCGAGTTTTATGCGGGAGCGTTGCCATTATCTAAGCGGGAAGCCAATATAGAATGGAATCAAAATTACCGTATGCCGCGTACGTGTGTGTGTGGTGAATAAATGTATGCACCGCATACCCACCGAACACCTCGCCCGGCGCGCCTGCTCAATACAACCAACGACTGCACCTCATGGCCCGCCCTCCATACCACTCACCTACACCGATTGTCCCACAGTCCCAGCGGCCGCCCTCACGCATAACCACCCAACCTAACACCTCCGCCCGTGCCGTCGCTCCGACAAACGT